CGATTCCTTGAGATCTGCAACACAGGTATGTCGTGGTACACGATCGCTCAGGATTTACGGTCGGTGTCTGAGACGACTGTTGCTTTGGACAGATGTGTTCCAGGATGTTAGTCTTTCTCAAGTAAGTGTTATTGGCTTTCTCCCCTTTGCACGGTGGTGTGATGCTGATTGGGATCTGCAGTGGCTGTCGTTGATCCCACCCGCTATGGTGCAAGCACATCTGCAAATATCTAACGAGACGATTGCATCGTTCAACAAGACGAAGCCATTCGTTGTTGGGCCAAATTGATGATATTATTAATCCATCTAATATGTACTAGCCAATGTAGAACACGATAGTTTAAGATTCGTTTCAGAGCTACGTTACTGTACTCTATATATCGCTACCTACTTTCTTTTAATTGATAATCACATAACATGGACATTCTGCAGTGGGAAATAAGTCTATTTCGATGGCTTGTGAGATCAATCCCCAATCTCTGGTCTGGTTGGGGAACTTGTAGTATATGGGTCTTCAAGAGGACGGTCAACTATATCATAGTTCGGTATCATTGCTGTTACATTGACCTCGTCTAACCGTCCTGAAATTATCGCGTATCTCTGCCGCGTTGACCGCACACCTATGATAATCGGACACCTTCGTAACTATGCTTCGGGCAGGGCCTCCTTTATGGTTGATTCTTCTGGCTTTTGCCGCCGCATTCGCGACAGCAACGTCTCTTCTTCGAAACAGCAAACTATGATCACAGTCGCGATCCCGGCAATTGCCACCAAGAGGGCACTGACCACTGTCCAGCCATCCCCCAGATGGTCGTACAACTGCAATGGTGAAATCATCAGGCTTGTTCGGCGAAACACGAGCGCGGTACTCACTTGACCGCTAATAATAGGTCCCACTTTATACAAATGTGAGTATCGCTCGTCCTTCAGAACTAGGAGCAACGCCGAGCATACACATACCTGCAGATCCCAAACCATTCGCCATGTTTTGCACCCCATATGTGTGCGCAACTGCTCAGAAAGTCCACATCAGTTTCATTTTAATCTTTCTCACTAATCAGACTTTGATACTGACATCCGACACCTTCCAGCATCCTCGTCGCCGATGACAATTCCGTGTTTATCACCGTCAAGAGTGATGTGAAGCCCAGGGCTGTATGCACATTTCGAGAGCCTACTTTTAGCACCTACTTTCTAGACTATTCACTACGAAACACTCACATGACAGCGCGAACATCGCAATAAATAGACCAGCAGACTTGTCCAGTATCAATAGCCCAAACCACGGCATGCTGAATGCAACTGCGATCGCTCCGACAATGGCTGGTCCTCTCTTATCCACCAACCACCCTCCGATGATACTCGCTGTAGTACATATCACGGCTCAGTTTCCAACCTCCTACACGCGACACAGATGTACTCACAGATCATACCGGGTAGAATGAAGCCCATGTACACGAGACCGACCTTGGTCGAATCATAGTTCCATATGGCTTGCATGTGCAGGGGAAGAACGGGCTCCTGGAGGGCGAGTACGATTCTGTTCCCCGGATATGGTCAATTGCGAGCATTGCAGAGAGGTGGGGATGAAATTGACATACGCGTAAAGCAAGGCACATGCGCAAGTCGCAAGAGCCCGACGCGACCTCATCAGCTTGTTCGCCGTCTCAAGAAGGCTCAGCTCCCGGTGCTTCTCCAGACTCGTGGGCAACACAGCAATAGCTTCCGCGTCCTTCTGTTCCAGAGTGACTATGTCTGAGCTCTGTGGCGTCGACGACTGATCGTCGTCGTTATCTTTGTCATTCTTTTCGCCAGACGAAGGTACAGATGTTTCTCCTTCTTTCTCAGCGTCTGCCTCCTGGGCAGGAAGTGCAGCAGGGTCGATGCCCCATCGTAGAGCGTGTTTGCGCTCGATCACTAGCAGACGGCCGACTAGATCTACCGCGGAGAAGATAATGCCAAAGATGAACGGTGCCCGGAACCCATAGGCTGTGTACAGTGCTCCGGACACTGGTGGCCCGATGACTGTTCTATGTATAATTGATTGGTTAGCATAACTCGGAGCTTGCAGCACAACTGGAATCGAGTGCACCCGAGAGCAGCGCCGCTCATGGCTAATCCGAAATGACCTGCAGTCATGATTAACGTTTATGTATTTATGTAACTTGAGAACAAAACTCACGCCCGATGGAGTTCTCATGAATCGTGTCGCAACTGAGAGAAGACGAAGACGATAACACTTCAGTTGTCAGAGATAGACCTGATGGCACGTTCTAAACATGCGCTCACACAAGCGCCAATCCCACTACCCACACAACCGACGAGCTGAAGCCCTGCAGAATCCGAGCGATAATCATCGGCCAGTATGTCGGCGATTCCATGAACAGAATCTGGGCTGCGATGATACCCAGCTGTCCACATATAAGCGGAACCTGCCTGTTCCTGTATCGCTCAGACAGTATTGCAATCGGAGGGGTGACTAGGGGAGAACATTAGAATCACTATTCTCGGCGCCATCTCATAGTAAAGTCGGAAACGACTGACGCACGACCGTCCCAATGGACTATCAGCATTCAGGTCAGTGATCCAACAGCGTAAAATTTAGAGGATGCGGCGTACAAAAGCAAACAACAGCCAGCCAGTGAGACCAGAAACGTCAGAATAGCCCATGCGCTCGATCTGGAACGGGATGACTGGAACGATGACAGAGTAGACCGTCCAATCTGATAGAATGCCTAGAATACAACCGGTGTTTTAGCTAGAACAAGTCCAACTAGTCGCTACGCACCTAGCCAGAGGACTGGGGGCATGATAGGCCCAGGGTCAGCAATCTTATGCGTGCTTGACGAAAGGCTGTTACAGTGCTCACCGATGGTAATAAACCAAGGCGAACATCTCCACCGTAAACCCCAGGGTCTTGATCGTTCATTCGCGTCGGTCGTCGCGACGACAGTGGGTTGAGAATCTGACATTGGAAGCCTAGCTGGTGGCAGAATATATCGAGATCCTGGATCCTCGCACCAGAGCCCAGCGGCAGAAGCGAAAAATCGTCAGCGTGGAACGTCGGGGGACATTGGTTTGATTATATGCTAATCCGGGATGAAACGTCTCGTATCTAAATCCAGTCGCAAGACACTGTGTCACATCTGGGCACGTCGCGATGAGCCATGATTAAAGTTCGACTTGTCTTGCGAGAATAAATACAGAGGGAAAGTTACTCAGCGTCATCCTCGTCCGGTAGCTATGCGTCGATTTATGTCGGTGATGAGTGAGTGAAAGTCGGGCCCATCAGGTACACGATTAAGTCTTTAAGAATAAGCTCGTGATTGTGAAGTTGTGCACGAGCCGAGCATGATGCAACGATCGAATGTCGGCACGAGACGGCTGGTTCGGCATGCAAATATCCCGGATTGGCAACATCTGTGCAAATGCAGTTACTGTTGTGTGATAATTTGATAACACCATGACAGCATTTACTCATGTGGGGAGCATAAGTATAACTACTATCGCTATCGGCTGGTGCAATAACCTAAAACTGCGCCTCGGAAGCAAACAGGTTCCTAAGGTTGCAACCTCACTCTTGTCAGTCTGACCATATCCTTCGAATCCATCGATAAACTCAGTCGTATTTGGAGTTACGAGAGAATAAGTGACGTGAACTCGCCTATATACCGATTCTCCACGCACATTACACGAGCACTTGGTAATATCGGGTCACTCAGAAGAACCTTGCAACCGCTGGATGTCTGCGAAAGTTTGAGTGCTTCAATTTTGATGGCGGCTGATGACCAGAGGAGATAACCCGAAGAAAGTCTAGAAGATACTAGAATACGATCAAGTCAAATAAACATAATCGCACTGCAGACCCATAGCACGACTTAATATACCTTGCCTCACACTGTCATGATTGAGCGGTCTAGTACTGAATCGTGGAAGCCCACCGATAATCTTGTATGACTGGAAAGTCGTCAATTTTCTTGCTGGAGGATTCTTGTCAAAGTCGGCATGATCGGAACACTTCCTGTTCTGCATGATATCCGGCCTACTTGCATCCTGCGATCATGGCCAAACCCATCCCAACTCTCGACGACCCCGACAAGTATTATGCACTCGACGACGACGAAATCACATTCTTCAAGAGTCAGACCGGCATCAACGACGACGCTGCTCTCAAGAGCCATATCCTCCATGTCCAGGCACAGGCATACGAGGTGTGATTTCCGCCTCTCCTGGCAGTCACCTCGCATTGATTTCCCACTGCTCGTGTATGATCATGCCTCTAGGTGCACCCGTATACTTGCATCCGGCACTTAAGTTTCACAAAGTACGCCCCAATCCCGAGATCGAATGTGCCTCCGACAAC